TCTGAATGTGAGCATTGATGACTGAAAGACATCTTCTGCCTCCATTTATCTGTTGATTCATGTTAAAGTGGATTAAAAGACATTTAAATTAGTGGAAAAAATTACAGGGGAGAATATAAACAAAAAAAACCCCCAAAACTTTCACGACCCCCATGCAGTACCTCCGGGGCCCCCCTAGGGGTCACGGACCCCCTGTTGAAGACCTCTGGTCTAAGCCTCAATCAATGCTCCAGGCCCTAGAACTGGCGGGCCAATCACAACGCAGAGATGAGTTTTGAGTTGTTGGATGCAAAGTGGGCGGGGTTTTGAGGGCGGGGCGACAAAGCTGCACGACGCTGGAGAAGCAAAACAAGATGGCAGCAACTATGGAACAGATCTGGTTAGACTCAGCTTTGGAATCGGTTCTGGAAGGATTAGACTTTAGGTTTTCGTTGAAACGTGAGCAGGAAGAGGCTCTACGCTCCTTCGTTTTTAAGACGGACGTATTCACCGTTTTACCGACAGGCTGCTTGTTTACCCTCCCTGACCAGCTTCCTGTTCCGCTTCCTACGTCACAGTCAGCTGCTCTCATTGGTCAGAGCGTTGGCCAATAGGCACAGACATGGTTTGAAAAAAAACGCGTTGTTCTCATCAACAATCTTCCGATGTCTCATTCATCGGGGCCAGACTAGATTACACATTTAATCTCACATTTAGTCTGGTTTATCAGGGAAAAGGCGGATATAAGGGAGCCAAAAAAATATGTCTTCTACTTCTAATGCAGTCCGGCCCTACATACCCGCTCCGCACTATTCCTGAAGGCTTGGAATATAAAACTGGAATAAGCTTACGGTCCTGACAGCGCAGGTCTGCAGCCAGATCGCTCTCTGGAAGGCAACATCGCTGCCGTTTGTCCAAACTCTGAACCCGTCTGATGCTTTGAGCAGCAAAGAAGCGTCAGAATCTGTCTTCCCCTGTTAAGCTTGTTGAGTCACCAAAGGAGCTAATGGCGGGTTTACATCAGCTGACTTGCACAGAGGCCAGGGCGTGATGTCATCTTTGTGCGAAGGGTCAGCAGCAAAGCTTTCAAAAAATACCCGAGACATTTATCC